CAGGCCGGAAAAAAAAAAAGTGGGCGGACGCGGCGGCGGAGATGAGGATTGGGGGCGCGGGGGTTACGGAGGGTTTGGTGACTGTTGGCGAGGGACTGTGTGTGTGTTTGGGGGTTTGTGTGTGTTTCGTTAAGTTTGAGGTGGTGATTTGGCTTCAAATGTACTATTCTGTTTTGGAATGTTTTGCCGGGTTTTTTCTATGCCCAAAATATCCTTTTGTCTTTGTCTTACGGTTGTGTAGAGTACTTGTACAAAACATCAAAACAAAGTCATCTGTGAGCTGGCTAATTATAACTTTGTTTGAAGTGCAAAATTCAAAATTAAGATTATTTATTTATATACCTTTTATAGTTCTAACACACTAAAATTTGAATTTGATTTAATATTAATAAATAATGTCAGCTCGAACTCGTTCAGTTAATGAACAGAGCTCGACCCAATTCAATAAAGATTTGAAGTCGTGACTGAGTATAAGTAGCTTTAGTCAGTCTGATAACACTCTTACGTTCGTTTATAACCTTTAATTTTTTTTGCTCTATTTGATCATTCGTTAAAAGAACTTTTAATGCAATCCAACAGATTGCTAAAAGTTGTCAAGCATAATAACATAACAAGGCTATTGCTTATGGTACGTGCGAATTTAATTCCAATAAAGATTTTATGTCTGATCTTCACACCTCCGAATATTTGAATACTGTCAGATGTTTTGGAGTGTCGAATGTTGGGAAATAAGGTCGGATAAGATGGAATAATAATAACACACCAATGTGAAATCAATAAAAGACACGAAAGTTTGTTAACCCAGTTCGGATTAAATCCTACGTCTGGGGGCGAACCAAGCCAGGAGAATGAACTAGAAAAAAAGGATAAACCGAATGTTACAACTCACACAAGCCCGTATGAATACACTCTCTCTACTCTTTTTCTCTCTATCTCTCTTGTTATGTTTTCTTTTGTTGTGATTTTTACATCATGATTCTAGCTCTATTTATAGAGAAAGAATGCATCAAAATTTCTACAAATGTGTGCTAACATTTTTCTCCCACGGTGTGCTACTCCATTTTTTTATTTATCTTTGGTAGTTAGAAGAAAATGGGTTGTTGCCCATTGACTTAACATCGAACCATGCGTTGCATCTTAAGATATGAACCACAGCCATGTTGTTGCGAAATATTAACCATTCTACGAGTTTGTGCAATAGTACGAGATTTGTTGTTCTAAAATTATCTACTCATGTGTTTGAATGCAAGGTATTGACTGGATCTAATGCAGACGAGAAGGTGTTGATACCTTGGATCACTCTAACACCTTCCGACGTTGATGTTATAGTACCTTTCAACGGAGGTAGTTTTCCTTAATGGTTTCTTATGCCATGGCGATTACCAAGAGTCAACGTCAGTCTTTATCACATGTTGCCCTATTCTTGAAGAACCGTTGTTCAGTCACGACCAGTTATATATAGTTGTTCTTCGTGTAACTAATGGAAAGAGCTTGAAAAAATGAGTTTTCGTGTAACTAATATTATTATTTTTTTATTTTAAGAATTATTTTTTTATTAACGAAAATAATAACAATAAGGTTGACCAAATAGCCTTAAAACCATTCACCCATGTTTATGCACTTGTGATTCTCTCATATATTTTAAATAAAAATATTACAAATAAAACTAATGATGCACATAGATTAGTTTTCAGAACATAAAATAATATCGTTGA